CACACACACACACACACACACACACACACACACACTTTCCCTCCACTCAGGGTCCTTCTTCTACCCTCCCAGATAGGGGCGTATCTTGAGTACCCCTCCTGATGGTTTTTGTCTTCTGGATCCAGAAATGGAGGCCATCTCAGACCCTACAAGCAACACCCCTTCTGGTTTCCCCTTTCTCAAGTCTTTTTCTGTCCGAGTACCTTCCCGAGGTCTGACCCAAGTCTCTCCTCTTGCCACTTAAGTTACCACTCTTGGATCCTGTTGAGCAGAGACGGAGAGTAGAGGTCTGCCTTCACGCCACGCCCCCCTCCCCACCGGGGGAATAGCCCTTCTGTTGACCAAAGTGTGAAGCAGCCCTCTGGCATCAGCATCTCCAATTCTCCTTGCAGCTTCCTGTCCCCTGTTCTCCCTCGTGAGGCTTCATGGAGTGTCCCTGCCCTCTGATTCTAACTCTCCTCTGCTAGGGCTTTCTTTTCCCCAGACAAAGCTCGCCCCACCCTGCCTGTGGGTGGGAACCCATGGAACAGTGCAGCTCCAGGTGCCAAGCCCAGGGCTTATCTGCTGCTCTGGGTAAACAACTTGAGAAATGCCACCTGGCATCCGTTGAAGTTTTAGGATTTCCCTCCTTCCCCTACAGTATAACCCCCTCCTGGGGCCCAGCAGAGGAGCCTATATATAAGGCCTGGGGGCCCCTGGGTGGCTCAGTCTGTTAAGCATCCAACTTTGGCTCAGGTCACGATCTCACAGTTCATGAGTTCAGGCCCCGCATTGGGCTCTGTGCTGACAGCTCGGAGCCTGGAGCCTGCTCCGGATTCTGTGTCTCCCACTCTCGCTCTGCCCCTCCTCCCCCTCTCTCTCTCTTTCAAAAATAAATAGACATTAAAAAAAAAAGTCCTGAAATAAAGGCGGCACTGAGAATAGGGAATAATTCTGCCTATCCCTTTTCTCTCTGGAACATGTCTGGAATATGGGTGCACACTCATACAGGTTTATAAGCATATGTGCTAGAGGGGAGCGTGCCGGTACACAAGGACTGCATACCGTCTGACTTTGCCGCTTCACTTTTGTGTTCTCTTTTCAATCAATGTGAATAATAGTGCTTCTCTTAATACCTAATACTTAGTCTAAGTAGTACTTCTGTAAGTCCACAGTACTTACTAGAATGGTAGCACCTCTTAGCGGTGTGTGTCTGTGTCTGTGGGGGAGGTGACAGAAAACGGGGGAACATGTGCCTCAAGGGGATGGCCACAGTTGGGAGTCCGAAAGCCTCTTCTGTTCTCCTACAGCCCCTGGAACTTCCAAACGGGACAACTGGTCCGGCTGTCTCCTAGCTTCCTAGTGTGACCTTGAGCAGAGAGCTTATTCTTCCGGGCCTTTGTGTGTGAGGCAGTGGATGGAAGCTAACTCTGTTGTAGAATCATCACCAGTAGTTACATGTTAATGTGAGAGGAAAGTTCTGTCAGCCCCAGGGACCGTTTGAATGTCTGTGTTCTCAGAGCTGGAGCCTGCAGCATCCTTGGGAGGAGGCGGTGAGGTGTTAGATCTAGGTTAGCTTACCCTGGGGACAGAGCGGCAGCCAGTGGCCGCCTGCGACCACCTTGTCCCAGTTTGCCCATTTTGAGACTGAAGGTATCACACACACACACACACACCCTCCCCCCCACATCCTGGGCAAAGTGGGGAGATTGGTCACCCTGGCTGGATCTCATACTTGGGCAGAACAGGAAGCGGAGGGTCTTTATTTCGGTCTTTCAACTTCCTTCTTCTGTCCTTCATTTCTTCCCCTTTTTGCTCACCTGCTCATCCTACTCGTATCTCCTTCCCAGGTCTGTCTGGGAACCCTGCGGACCTGGAGAAACGTAAGCATGTGTTCGGACAGAACTTTATCCCCCCCAAAAAGCCCAAGACCTTCTTAGAACTAGTGTGGGAAGCCCTCCAAGATGTCACACTCATCATCCTGGAGATTGCAGCCATCATCTCCCTCGTCCTGTCCTTCTATCGGCCCCCCGGTGAAGAAAATGAACGTGAGTGTCCACAGCAGCCCAGTGCGGCTCTGATCGGCGTTCTTTCCAGCACCTCCAATAAGCACTGGTCTTAGCAGTTGGCAGGGTGTAGCTTAAAAGTTGGGGGGGGGGGCAGGGCTCTCCAAAGAAAACCAGCAAGTAGCTAGTAAGCTGTTCTTCCAACCCATCCTGATTCCAGGGTCTCCCTCCCCTTCTCCTATCAAATCCTCATGCAGAATATCAGGAGTCCTCTACCCTCACCCAACCAACAAAACCTGCTTCTCCCAGTGCCCCCCCGCCAGCTATTTGGCATCATGGGAAATAGCAGAGACCTGGAGCCTGACCACGTTAGGAATCATAAGTTCTGCACATGCGACTGGCCAGTCATTGGCAATGACATGTTTCGTGCTATCTAGCACGCAAATAATTCTATTGGCAACGAGACGGTGCCCAATAGTGCCATCCTCCAGTACCCTCAGAGGATGGCTCTACTACCCAAGGGTTTTATTTTCTATTATTCTCCTTCCCTGACTTGCCGTTCTGGGGATTGTGGAGACACTACTTCCGTTTTGAATGTTACCAAAAGGCCCCCAGCTGACCCTTCCACTCTCTCCTTTCCCTGGGCTAGAGTGTGGTCTACCCGTAAGTAGCCCGGAAGATGAAGGAGAGGCAGAAGCCGGCTGGATTGAGGGGGCAGCCATCCTGTTCTCCGTGATCATCGTGGTGCTGGTGACTGCCTTCAATGATTGGAGCAAAGAGAAGCAATTCCGGGGGCTGCAGAACCGCATCGAAAAGGAACAGAAATTCTCCGTGATCCGAAATGGTCACATCATCCAGCTCCCCGTGGCTGAGATCGTGGTGGGTGACATCGCCCAAATCAAATATGGTGAGAACTCGTGCTTCTTGTACCTGTGGCACCCTCCCTATCTGAGGGCTAGGTCCTTTGGCATAGGGGGCTGGGAATCACCGAAGACCCAAAAAGATAAGACCGCAATCGTGTTAGCTTCTAGGTCAGGGGAAGGAGGTTGTGGAGAAGGATCTAAAGAAAGAAGAAACTCTCCCCAAAAAGTGTCAGGCTTGGACCCTGTGTGTCTTAGGGTTAAAAATCCATAATGTTGAGGCCATGAGAAGTAACCGTTAGTTCACAAGGAGTTGACAGGTTGTCAGAGATGAAGTCATCTTTCAGAGGCTCTCCAGGTACCCCCTGGGCCATTGCCCTATGGGCAGGGCCCATGGAAGCAGCCCTGAAATGGGGTTGGATGGTTCCTACCCTCTGCCAAGCTCTTTCCTCCCCTCTTTCCCTGTTGCCCTTTCCCCTCTGTGCACTAGGTGACCTACTGCCCGCAGATGGGATCCTGATCCAGGGGAACGATCTCAAGATTGACGAGAGCTCTCTGACTGGGGAATCAGACCATGTCAAGAAGTCTGTGGAAAGGGACCCAATGCTGCTCTCAGGTATGGCCTCTGGCTGCTTCGGCCCCCATTCTATTTCCCATTCTACCTCCCCCAGCCAGCCAGGCTACCGAGACCTGCTCCAGGCCTCGCTCTCTCTTCTGGCCCTACCCCCTCTCCTTCCCCTAAGCTTTATCTGGGGCAGCAGCATA